GTGTGGAGTTTGCATGTTCTCCCTGTGTCATTGTGAGGTTTCCTCTGGGTACTCCGGTTTCCCCCCACAGTCTAAAAACATGGATAATTGGAGTTACCAAATTGCCCATAGTGAGTGTGCCCTGTGGTCAGATTGTCACCCCATCCTGCGTTGTTCCTGGCCTTGCGCCCATAGACTCTGGACCCCCCGTGACCCTGAATAGGACAAATGGTTAAAGGAAATAGATGGATATAAAGAATTGTCACTGTCATGCAGTATTACAGTGTGGTCTGAAGCAATCTTATGTTTTGCTGTAACAAGGCTATACTGCTATCCTCTCGGGTTGTCCAGCAATACGCCTCTTCTTCAACAGGCTTTCAGATGAGGCACCCTGACACTTAAAATCTATTATTAGGGGAAGTGGGGAACTATCCTATAATAAGGATATTATTCTCAGTTTGTCAGTACTTGATAGTTCACTTGCATATGATTTGCATTCAAATTACTAGGTACCAACAATATCTATATTTATTTAGCACATGCTTTAGTTCAAAGTGACATACAAGTGAGAGAGCAGGGTCAGCCAGTCCCCAGAGTAATTGGGGTTAAGGGCCCACCAGTGAAATCATTCTGCCAGTCACAGGTTTGCACCTTTAGATCCTGAGTACAGAGTGCTAACCCTGAGGCTATACACTGCCCTATACAGTAACATGCACCAGTGAGGGTATACACTGCCCTATACAGTAACATGCACCACTGAGGGTATACACTGCCCTATACAGTAACATGCACCACTGAGGGTATACACTGCCCTATACAGTAACATGCACCACTGAGGGTATACACTGCCCTATACAGTAACATGCACCACTGAGGGTATACACTGCCCTATACAGTGCATGCACCACACCCCCAAATCCTGATTTATGAAGTCCGTTTAAACTGTGGTACCTTAAATCCGACATGTTACCCCGATAAGCCAGTAACCCCACTTTGTAGTACAGGCCACTGGTGTGGGAAACAAGCCCACAGCCATAAAGGCATGAGACTCCTGCACTACATTGCTTTGCTCAACGCTTCTGGCCTCCATGTCCCTAACCCTGATCAGAGGACACTAACCCAACTCGGATCTGACTCATCACATTATTATTATTATTATTATTACTATTATTAATATTATTATTGTTGTTATTGTTTACTTAATTGGGTTTAATTATCTGCCTGATTCTGTGTTTGTCTGGATTACAGTTTTCTTGTGATTCAGTCTTACTTTAATTTGATTAAACCTGAAAAAAAAATCACAAAGCAGGGGTGATGTAGGATGAGCAAAGCCGGCTGCTGTATAGCCAAGGGTGCTGACTCAGGGGAATATGCAGGCCGGCTCTACCAAGACATTTCTGCTTTTTCAAATTTTTATTAAATGTTGTTTTTAAAAATACTATATGGTACTGCCATACTTTAATACAATTGTGCACAGAAAATAACATTTACACAAAATGTCTTTCAAATAAAAAGATTCCTGAGCACTCACAAAGGAAGAAAAACATAAATAAAAAGCAAATTTGTTCTGCATTCTGCTCTTTATGTTCCTTTCAGCTTTGAAGAACTACACAGCGGCCTCCTGTTTCATTGAGGTTTAAAAATAATGACACGCATTTAAATCTTTCTGTTATTCATTATCATGGAAAAACATCCAATCATTGCAGAAATTAGAAGTGAAAACCAATCATTTACCATTATTAAAACAATAATTTAAGTCAATGGAATGGTACCAAGTTTGCCTGGTAAATGATATATCTTGCCCCAGTGCACAGTGTGAACAACTGCGAGGAGCTCAAGAAACACCCGTGATCCACAGATTGGCAAAACCTGGCCGCAAGAATAGTATGGGACTATTTTCCTACATTGGGGCCCTCACTAGGTCAGCTGCCTTATGTCTACCAAGACTGATTGAATTTAGCCAAAAATATGGCTGCATGTGAAGGGAGGTTGTGATTTGGTCACAAGTGGATCTTCCAGCTAGACAATGACTCCAAGCACACATCTGAAATCAAAGCTGAAATCAACATTTTGCAATAGTTGTCTAAGTCTCTAGCCTTGAAACACATTTGAAATCTGTAGCTGAACTGAAAAAAATCTATAGCAAGGGATGTGAAGGACCTGGAATATTTCTTTATGAGGAGTAATATAAGATACATTGTCAAATTTCATTAATCTCCAATCTGAATGCTCAAGAAACAATATAGAAAAATGAATTAGCATTGTAAAGTATTATATAAGCATCATATACAATATGGTCTCTCCCTTACAATGCAGAGGGTGCAGAAGTATGCGTATATATTTTTTTAAATAATGAATTTCAGAAATGTAACTTTGGTTGATTCAGTAGATCAATTAATAAAATTAACAGGATATATGTGTATCTAACAAACAAACAAATAAATGAGGAAGAATAGGAGTATGAGAATATATAAATTAGGAAAAATAAGAGTATGAGAATAAACAAATGAGGAAGAATATGAGTATGGGAATAAACAAATGAGGAAGAATAAGAGTATGGGAATAAACAAATGAGGAAGAATGAGAGTATGGGAATAAACAAATGAGGAAGAATGAGAGTATGAGAATAAACAAATGAGGAAAAATTAGAGTATGAGAATAAACAAATGAGGCAGAATAAGAGTATAAGAATAAACAAATGAGGCAGAATAAGAGTATAAGAATAAACAAATGAGGAAGAATAAGAGTATGACAATAAACAAATTAGGAAGAATAAGAATATGGGAATAAACAAATGAGGAAGAATAAGAGTATGGGAATAAACAAATGAGGAAGAATGAGAGTATGAGAATAAACAAATGAGGAAAAAATGAGAGTATGAGAATAAACGAATGAGGCAGAATAAGAGTATAAGAATAAACAAATGAGGAAGAATAAGAGTATGACAATAAATAAATGAGGAAGAATAAGAGTATGAGAATAAACAAATGAGGAAGAATAAGTGAATGGGAATAAACAAATGAGGAAGAATAAGAGTATGAGAATAGACAAATGAGGAAGAATAAGAGTATGGGAATAAACAAATGAGGAAGAATAAGAGTATGGGAATAAACAAATGATGAAGAAAAAGAGTATGAGAATAAACA